AAAAAAAAAAAAAAGTGTATGAGAAGAGAGAAGTGGGGGCTTGGATGGGGAGCAGTGGACTTGTGACGCAACAAACAATCGCGTATACAAAAATAACTTTAAAATACCATTTACAAAAAACGACCATTATCATTATTATTATTATTATCATCATCATCATTAATATTATTATTACAATCTTATTAGGAGCCCGTTGTAGCTATCTGAAAGGGGGCCAGCTGGCAGTCTATGCTTTTCCTCTGCCAACCAATTAAAACAAAAAAAAATGTTTCAATCTTTTTACGCATATAATTTGAACATAAAAGTAAAAAATAAAACAACCCTGAAATATTTGCCAGAGGCAAAAACAAAAGGGCAGCAGAATAATTTACAGTTCGAAGGGAAACATCGTGTAGAGGGAGGAATCATCATCAACATCATGCACTGACTTTCTTACATCTTCTGTTAATAAGAATATTTAAGAGATAGCAAAAGAAATCTGAAATATTATATACCTAAACTGCCCTGTACAGTTCTTTATCTTTATAAAAAATGCATATACTGTATAGTTATGGTAGCTAATGAAGGAGAAGTTAGCAGAGAACAATATAAATCAGGAGGAAACAGTAGTCCTGGGTCCCTAGCTGCTGTACTCTTATTTGATCATTGTCTCACACATACAGAAGCAGGTGAAGTATGATTTGGCCGTCAGATGAGAAACCAAACAAGTTAAGCTTTAATATCAACCTGTCAAGATCTGCAAGAGTTTCAGATGATGCGTGACATTCATACTTCCAAACACTGAGGTCTGCTGTGAGGAAACTGGCTGCTAAAATAAAGACATGCACGGTCGTTTATCTGAGGGCCTCACCGGCAGGAGGAGGAGAATGAGAATGAGAACCGAAGAGCAACAACAACAAAAAAAAAAAAAAGACAGGAAGAAAATGAAATAAAATAGCAAATATAAGTCCCAGAGTAAAGACCGGGAGAAGCCAAAAACACAAAGAGAGAAATGAACTGAGGAGAAAAGCCAAATTAAGAAGGACTGTCATTGGCTGTCTTCTCTGGGGGGCGGACTAAGGCAGGCTCATGGTCCCAGCAGTGAGAGCCAGAGTCAAAGGGTTCACGGCGAGTTTGACCATTACTGATGTGTTTTAAGGTTATTTAACTGCTGCGACTGGAAACATGGCTGTCAGGTTTTCTGGGTACTTCACCCAAAGGATCGCTGGAGCGATCTCTGAGGTCCAAAAAAAAAGGAGATTGGGATTACGAAAACCAGATATATTTCTGTGAAATACTGGATAGTTTTACCTCTTCAGGTCTCTAAATACTATTGAAGTTCATCACTTTCAGAAGGGAACGTCGCTCTTTGGTTGAGCTGCTGGCGACTCAGACATATACAACCTACTACTGACAACAGCAATGACCAAACCACGTCAGCCTTATGACTCTGGTAAACAGGGAGGTCAGCATAGAAACATACAGTGCTAGAGCTGAAATTACTGCAGTTAACACAGGGACAAATCCTACAGGACAGAGGTGAGAGACAGTTGAATGTTGGCAACAGTCAGCTCTAGTCTTTCTGTTTCAATGCTGATCCTTTGTAATGTAGCACCAGCACACAGAAAGAGGGAGAGAGACGGAGATACAGAGAGAGAGAGAGAGAGAGAGAGAGAGAGAGAGAGAGAGAGAGAGAGAGAGCACCCTGGCAACCTGTACATACCCAACAGAAATGGTTGCATCATGGGTAACAGATTATCTAGGTTCGCTTTGAAGATTGTTGTTCATTCAGTAGGAGGAAGCAGACACCTTCTGGGAGTTCAGTTAAACCTCAGGAATCAGCTTCCCACAGTAGCTTTTCTGATTAAAGATAATTCCTGATTTAGGACAAAAAAAAAGTTACTTTTCTCATTTGGTATGAAACAAAGAGTTCTTCCTGTTAATGTAAGGAGAACACTTTTTATTTAACACCTACATTCCTCTTCATTTAGCCTAAGAATGGGCAAATCTTCATGATGTGTCTACAGCTCAGAGAGAAAAACAAGACCATTTCTTAATCTACTCTCAAGTCACCAAAAAAAACAAAGAAAAAAACAAAAAACAAAGAACAAAACAGGAATTATCCTTTAACCATTGACAGGGAAATAACCAGACTGATCCCAGGTCAGCGTCTGGAGAAGTCAAAACCTCTAACATCAGCAAGCTGAACAGGAAAGTGTGGGCTTTGTTCTAAAATGGACAAGCCACTTGACCAGTAAGTGTTCTTCCGCTTTGCACAGTGGCACTTTGAAGGAAGGACTGGGTGGGGGGGTGGGGGTTGGGGTGCGTGGGCGAGCTCGGTCATTGACAAGCTGTTCTGCACAGAGTTACACAGAAGGTGCTTCTATGTAACAATGTGCTGTCTGTCTGTGTAGCATCTATCAACTTGGTTTTTTTGGACCCGCCAGGTGAGATCGGCAGAGTCCGTCTCCTGACAGGCGAGAAGACTGTTGGTGGACAGGCAGACAGTTCGTTCCATCATGTCCACTCCAGGGGGGGTTCTCGAGGGCCTTTGGGCTGGATGCAGCGGTTACCGAACCCTGAAAGGAGAGGACTTTCTTCAGCTGGGTTTGAACTGAATAAAATACATCCAGAAATTTCTACCCAGGAGGAACATGCGCCCTTCAGTTCTTGCCTGGTTTCGAAACCGTCACACTTTTTCTGCACATGCAGCCCAGAAAAAAATAGCAATGCCACTCATAAAAAAAAAAATGATGACATTAATAGAAACCATGTTTGTCAGCAAAGGAAAAATCATTACTTGTGCAAATAATACTTGAGTTCCTCCAGAGGGCTGAACAGTGGAAACGGCAGTGTGCAGTCACAGAAAAAAAAAGAAGGTAAAATCACAGATGTCAGGACATCCAAAAGAGGTAAGATAGCAGACTTACCCACCCAAGTCTGCCTTGCTGTCTGTTGCCGTGGTGGCAGCAGATGCAGGGTCAGCTGGAGATGTCTTCTTAATGCAGTCTGACACATCTACACACAGACAAACACACACACACACACACACACACACACACACACACACACACACACACACAGGTTAATGGAGTGGAAATACTGTGTGAATATCAGTGATGTATGTGTTGTAAAATAGTTTTAGTGATGCAAGACCTAGATCTATAAATTATAAAGATCTATAACTGAGTTATATTCATAGAAGGTAAAAAAATCATTGCAGAATTCAAGTCAAAACATGTTCTCTGTTGATTATTCTCTCTGTCTCACACACACACAGAAACTACTGAAGCAATAAATTGGTAAAAATGGTAGTAACCATCATCGCAGTCCTCGTAGCAAGGATAAGCATATACACACATTTTTCATGTCACCTCTCTATAGACATGTTTTATCAGTCTCTCGCTCTTACAGCTGCCCCCCTGACAAATGCTGTCAGCCTTATCGTGCGCAGGCTAATTTGTAAAACACTGACGGCCCATCTCCTCCTCTGCTCTGTTGACTAACTGCTATGAACACGTAAAAAACCCAACGAACAAGGACAAACAATACGGAGACCCACAAGCAGATGAACGCCTCTGCACCCACCAGCGCGCAGATAAAAACGGGGAGTTGTGATTGTGTGTGTTCGTACCTGTGTGTGAGCCGCTCCATTCGGCTGAGGCTGACGTCCTCACCTCCAGAGGGTCTGGCAGAGAGCAAGGGAATTGAGTGGATTAGATCAACTGGTGACTAAAGGTTAAGCCGTAAACATTAAGCACAATTAGACACACACCCACATGAACAGTCATACGTTTCCTTTCAAACTCACTATGCTTCACGGTACCTTTCCATCTCTCCTCATCACCCAGCCTTTAATCCAACCCTTCCCCTTCGGTCACACAGCAGGGAGAACAACCTCCACTCTGGATCTCAAAGGTGCCTCACAGCTTTATTCAATAGTGCAGGATGTTTAGAATAAGTGATATTTCTGAAGTGGTGAACACAGGTGAGAGCTGTGATCTTTCAAAAAAAAAAAAAAAAAAAAAAAAAAAAACCCCTCCAAAAGCAATAAACTATGACTGACTGTTGCCTGTTTCAAAGATGATCTTCACACGAGAACATCTACCGCACATCTGAGAAAGCTAATGCTGCCCTCCAGTGTTGTAAAACTGATAAAGCTTCTTACAAAAGCAAAGTGTTTTAACACAAATGTTTAATCGTGTGCTCTAATGTGGTTGTGAATATTCTAAGGCTCTCGTTCTGAAATATCAGAGAGCTAGACAGGAAAAAAAAAAAAAACAGCAGAAGGCAACGGGGCGGCCGAGTTATTAAAGAGACTATCATGTGAAAGAGAGGTCGCAGGCCTGATACCTGCAATGTGTGCGTCCATCTGTCTGTTTGAAGAGAGGATGAGAGAGACTGAGCCACTAGCTGTTCAAACATTGTAAAGGACCAGGTAAAATGGAAAAAAAAAGAAATCATAAGAAAATGGAAATCTGCTCATATCAGCAGCTACTGACTGTGTCAAAGAACCACGTTTCCCCTTGCAAACACAGCACTTAAACCAATACAATGCAGCACCTTCCACCTACATGAACAAAGCAACAACAACCCACTTGGATCTTTACCTTTTTGTTTTTAATACAAAATCTCTTATTTTTTTTTCTCCTTCAAGTTCATAATAATCATTGATCAGTCCAGCTTTTGTTGGAGTTGACCAATAACATGGACCCAGGAGGTGAGCCAGTGAATCCACAGCACTGGAAACCTCCACCACCTGTGAATCTCGACCAATGCAAACGCACCTGTGGCCAGTATGAAGGACTCGGGGGTTCTCGCGGGGAGGGGGGGAGGGGAGTCGTCGCTGTCCCAGCAGTCTGGGTTAAAAGGTCAGAGGTCAAATAAGAAGCAGCGTTAATAACTGACCGAAGAAGAAAAGACAAGAGATCGATAGTCAGATGACAGAGAGACAAAGAAAAGCTCATCATAGCAAAAGTGTTGATGCTTTGATTCTTCTCCACAAACACAAAGCTGCTTCATTACAAGAAGAAGCTTTGATGCTATTAAATCTGTTTAGGCTGTTTCAAGGCAGATTTTAAACAATGTAAGTGTGTGACAGCATTTTATCAATATTTACTGACTTTATATCAGGATGCATCAGTTTGTAGATGTGCATCTGTACTATTGTTTCAGAAGTGATTTAGTAGAAGTAATAGTAGTAAGTAAGTAGTAAATCACGAAAAATGATTCCTATTATTAATGTTTATTTTTATGTCTCATTTATGTTCACTCTTAAATTACACACAAAACTAAATTCTGCTTTGTAGTGTTTTAAAAATTATATTAAATGTGCTGCTTTAAATTAGTTAAGTTTTAAGTTTAAGTTTTAAACACTTTTTCAATTTTCTGATTTGATAATATTTCATACATGTACTGTTTTTTCTTTTCAATTTTTCAGTCATTAACAATGTTCTAAACATATAAGTGAATATAATAAGTATTGATACAGTGCTTTCAGAATTATGGTCGTACAAAAACAAAATTGAATATAGATTTTACAACATGCACTCATTACGTAATGAGGCGTAATAAGCTACATTCTGCATTTTTTTTTTAATATTTTTCTCCAATTATAAAGATTCAACAAACATTTGGTTTGACAGTTTCTCCCACAGTCCCTGTAACAGACACAAATGGATTTGTGCTGTAACAACACTGATACTGAAGCTACAAACAGCAGCAGTTCACCTGAGTTAGTTTCATGACTGCCTGACATGTAACCGCTGTCAGAGGGAATGAGTCTATGTGATGATTAATAATAATAATTCACATGAGGTGGGCAGCCTCAGACACTGTTAATATGAATTTTTCTTGGGTTCTTTAATGGTGAATAATATAATATAGTCGGTCATGGTTCTGGCATGACCACTAAAATCACTGACATGCTCCAGACAGCCATGATTACATTTCCTTCCTCCTCAAATTGAGTATTCTTTGACAATCTCCATCTCTGAGAGCAACATTGCTTTTCTATTTTAGCTTGGAAAATGACCAACAGGTCATTATTAACGATTAGCTCCTGCTGCAGCATGTTGCAAGAGGGAATCAATGCAAGGGGACATGTAATAAGGAAAAATGATCTTGTTTTGAGTCGCAGCTGCTTCAATTCTGTGTCTGGTTCGCCCAAACTCAGCAGTTTGTCCTGTTAGACCAGAGACTATGGCTTTATCTGATGAAGTGATAACCTCTCATCTCTTACTCTTCTTATAGTCCAGTAAAAAGTGTGAAATACTGTCTGTTATTATGAAGCAATCCCACCTCTGTTTACCACATAAACTCAATTATCTCAGTTTGACACAGCTGTGATTTCTTTATGGGGCCTAACAATAATAACTGGCTAGCGATTCTCTCTGACAGAAAGCTACCTTTAATCTGCTGTCCAGCTGCAATAAATATGGTTCTTTTTAATGCAAGGCCAATATCCAGGATGACATTTTGTATTAATGACCTTATTATGGACCATGAGATTAACTTGTCTCTTTCTCTCTTGACCCCTAAATTATATTTTCTCCCGTTCATCCAGGCTGAAATTTACTCAGAGGCTCCGAGCGTAATGCCGCCATTATAAAATATGAGCCTCATTTCCTGGTAGAGACAATCCATGTTTCTCCTTTTCTTTGATGGAATTTTCTGATTCACTCTCAGACCTTCACGCCAACTCCAACGCTCAACTATTAAAAGGGTGATTGGTATTGTGGTATTTCTATGCACTCTAGACACTATCTGATCATCACTGTCTTGTCTAATGATTCTAACTGAAATCTACTGACTCCTATAGCTAGAGATTTTCTTGTACACTTTCCTACTTCGCTTGAAGGCTATAATGTTTTGTTATAAAACCACTTTTAACTCCGTGCAGACGTCCTAAGCTTTATGAATGACTCATTTGAAGATGGGTGTTTTTCCTACTGGATTTGAGAGAGTACCAGGAAAGCCCATAAAACAGCCTTGGATAGGGTAACATTAGTCCTAATGATGGCCAGAGTTCGATGCTAGTTAATCGAGGCTTTGCACCATTTTCAGGAAAACATTAGACGACTGTGCAGAAGGTTAATGTAGCCATGAGTGACGAGGGGAAGAGTCAACAGAGACAACATGATATTGCTGTTCCTGAACTAGTTTAGTGCCATTAACAATGTAATTACTCACTCCAGTAGAGTTAACAGAATAATGAAAGCTGTTAATCAGTTGTTCTCAGTGTTGTTACAGGCACAGGTGACTTGGTAAACGTAAAGTAAACCTGCTCTTGTTGTCAGGTTTGAATGAGTTTTAACAGATATGACAACTGTGAATTACAAGCAAAATTATTAGTTAACTATATTCAGTTACAGATAATAATTTAATATTGATTATTAAAAGGATAATCATAATGGTAGCAACCTTAATTTTGCCTTGGTGTTTTTTTTTTTTATATCTATAATTGTGATAAATCTTATTACATTTTAACCTTATATCTCTGGTATTGGTCTCCCATTGTTCTGTGTTTAAAATGCTGTTTGTCACTGACTTGTGAAGGAATCTGAAATGTACCAAACTGTGTGAAATATGCAATATATATTGATTTATTGATAGTGCGACCAGTAAAAACAAGCACAACAAGCAGCCACCAGCTTTCCCTTGACCAACCACAAAGCAGCAATTTGCTCAATGCAACTCATCAACAAGCAGTCATTAGATTCTTGCAACCAATCAAACAGCAGCCGTTAGCTTTTCATGACCGATTACAAAGCACTACCACAGCCCGAACAGATAATGAGCCAGAAAGCCAAGCAGACCAAAGACAGACCACTTCAGGACTGTGAGGCAGATATTTCTGCATTGATCTTTAAATACTGGAGTTACTTGAGGAGAGCATAATGTATGATGCCAGACATTTAAATGGCTAAGATAAGATTTACATTTCATTCGATTATTGAGAGAAACAGGCTACTTTTTTGTGGCTGTTTCTCAGTGTGTTTCATAAAAACAACTTGTAGGTTTGAGGCTGTTGGTTTTCCTTGGTATAAACCAGGAATAATAATTACAACACCATGCCAATGTAAGCTGTTCTAATTTGTCATGTCAGAGAAAGTAGGGGAATATCAGAAATAATAATAGCCTCAAAACAGGCTAATTTCTGAGTAGTGCATGTCAAGCTCCAATTTCCAAATTATTCTTGAGATTAATTCCCTTTTTAATCTGGAGAACAGTAGCTTGTTAGAAGAACAGTAAGCTGCTGTTGCTGACCACTAAAAAGTATTACAAATTTTACTGTAAGACTCCAGTCATGGACTAAATGCTGCCATGCAACTTAAACTGCTTCTTGTGTAAAAGCATCGATAAACTGGTTGTTTTACTGAAAATTATGTTAGTTTATGCATAATTTAAATACAGCCTATGTTACTTTAACTAAAGAGTGGTGTTTCTTCTGATTGCAAGAGACTCTGTTTGTAGAACGTACACTAGTTTCTAATTGAAGTGCACTGCCGCCCAACTCGCATCATGCTCCTCATAGTTTCATCCAAATATCTAAAAATGCAGATAAGTTATTTCATCCAGAGGCCATTCAAGATCAAAACCGTTCCAAGGCAAAGTCAAGTTCAATCCACTCCGTTTCATATCAGCTGCAATCACAGCAAGAATCAGATTTCAGAATCTCCCGATTTTGAAACCAACAGCAGGAGAAGGGACATCGTTCCCTTCAAAACCTCGCCATTGAAATTGTGACAGTGCAGCCGTACGGATGTACACACAGCAAACAGTGTGACACTGCTCTGCTCAACCCAACGTGCACAGAAGTGTGTATTTAAATGTGCATTTGTCAGCATCATGCAGTGTCGATCCTTCACCATCCAACATGCACACACACACGATTCTCACTCACAACTGCACTGAAACAAAAACACACAAAAACAGGTTTTCTCTCATTCTTTCTCCCGTTTGCAAACTCACGCACTTAGACAAACACACACAAGCTGAAAGAGGAAGAGAAGAGTTGTTTTGACAGATGTTTGCCTGTTAACATTCGCAGCATTCCTTGCAAACCAACCAATTTGTTATACAGTCATGCTTTATATGAGACTCACTGGAAACTATCTCACTCTGTCTGTTTCTCGTGTTTTTTTTTCTTCTTATTCCTTTCTTCCATATCTCCTGTTTCTTTTCTCCCTGTCTCTGACTTTCCCCGGCAGTAAGAAATGTATAACACAGCGTGTCTATGTGTTGACAGATAAAACTTGTCATTAGCATGTGGTCTGTCTGAGACCTCCGTCTCCTTACTGACCCAGAAAATGACTCTACCGTGTGGTTTCCCTGAGCATATGTGAATGTGGATAATAAGGACAGGTTGACAGACTTACCCTCAGCGCCTTTTCCAGCATTTAAAAGGAGAACTTGACTAGACTCATTAGAATGAGCTGGACTGAACTTCAAGGTTCAGTTGAGTTAATTAAGTGTCGTTCGGATCCTAATCTAGCTAATTTAACTTATTTTGTAAGCTTTTTTTCATTAATCAAAACTATTGTCTGAACCTGACAAAACAGGGGAATCCAGATGCCCATTTATCTCACTAACTTTATTTGTTGGTTTGTCTTTGTTAATTGATTGTAGTAATAATCATAGTGGTTAATTGACTGTCAGGAAAGCAGCCAGTTAGATTCACTCATTCAGTTACAGTAGCTGACTGACGTACTTGCTGTAGTTGCAGAGGGTGACGAAGAGGTATGCCCTGCAATCGACATTGGCAACACCTTCCTGACTGGTTGCTGGTCTCCATGGTGAGGGGACGCAGCTACCATGGCCGTCGCCGTGGATACATTAGAACGATAGCCCTCCTTTCCTCCGGACATCTCTCCATCCCCCTCCTCGTCCGAGTTATCGGAGTGCAGGGGGTTGGTGAAACTGAGGGCAGTCCTAACAGGAGTGGAGGAGGAAGAGGAAGAGGAGGAGGAGAGGTGGGAGGAGGAGGATGATGATGGAGCAACACGGTCTGAGGAGGAAGAAGAGGAGGAGGTCTTAGGGAAATGTTTTTCGGGGCTGTTGCAGGGTTGAGCCCATGCTGCGTGGCCAGCCTTCACCTCCACTCTCTCCCCTCCCTGCGGCTCCCCCTTCTCTCCACTCTTCACAGGGAGGTGGTTTGGTCTGGTTAGGACGCCTCCGTCTGTGTGACTCTCCCCACCTGCTCCTCCCTCCGTGCCCGAGTCCTCCGACAGCGAGGAGCTAGACGTCAGCAGGGATTGGCCAGAACGGGCTTTGAAGGCGTGGCCTCTTTGCAGCATACCCCCGCTGTTGGTTGAACCACTGCCGAGCCCGCCTGCTACTCCCATCGAGGGGGAAGTGTCAAAGCTACGAGGTCCTTCCTGCAACGGCACCTTTTTAATCTCAATGCTGAGCTTCCTCTCGATCCGAGGAGCACCAGAACATTCAACAACCGGGGAGAGGGGAGAGGAGGAAGTCTGAGTCTGGCTTTGGCCTGATTCTGATTTTGTTGATGCTGAAGATAATTTGTTGTTGTAGTTGTCGTTGAGATCCAGATTTGAGACCTGCGTCTGCTGTTTTCGACTTTCAAGATCTTGGTCTTTCTGCTCTGAGGGACTGGTCCGTTTGTTTGAACCAGGCTCTGACTGGTTCTGCTGCTTGTCCACATCTTTCTTCTGAAAGAAAATGGAAGTGAAGAGATGAGGCATTTCATACCCAGATGCAGCATCACCCAGATACCAGCCCAAAAACATGACATTAAAAATATAAAAGGTTAGAACAGCATAGAGGTACAGTTACATTACACTTTGTCCAATAAATAGACACTCAATCTCGCATCCACTTCTAATAAAGCCCACATGACGGATTAATTCTAGTCTTCAAGTGTTTATTTTGGTGGGACCTCGAGCTCCAGTTCTGGGGAACTTTGCAGGTCAGACTTTTGTTCAACTCTGACGCAGATCTACATAATTGGTCCATACAAACACTGATTCACTGTGTTCACAAATGGATAATTTATAATTCAGGTGTGTACCATCACCTGTTGAGTACAATACTACACGACTGGTCTACAAACTGCAGCATTGCTCTCATTACAGTTTGTTTCCGATCAACATCAAAATCACGACGTCATGTTTTTTGTTTTTTTTCTTTTGTACAGAAGCTAATGTGACCTTGTGTTTATGCAAACCAATTATAAAACAAAAAAGCCATCTGTTCAAGTGTACTCGGAATGAACACCTACCATATTCTATTAGGAAACAGAAAACACACGTAACTTCGAATATTGTCCCTTTACAGCAGAAACATCAGAGGGTCTCCAGGATTAACTCAACCTGCCACAGTAATTTATAGTACCAAATATCTGATCACCTGTCCCTGAGTGAGTGTACAGTGCAAATCCATAGGCTTGAACCAATACATTGACTTTGCACATCATTCTTCTGGTTTCCTGCAACTCTCTACTGTCAAGGTACTCTCTATTGAGACAGTGTAGCAGTAAGACCTCTGCACAATAAATTCTGCGGGCAAGACTCCTGATGTTGCACATGTCAACCTAAGTTACTCTGGATAAGGGCATCTGTGAAATACCTTGAGTGAAATGTCAAACACACAACACGTTTCACAGGTCCAAATACCACATATATCTACATGGAAAAACCATCCCACGCTCAATTGAGAGAGCTGTGTATTTGTAGTGTATGGGCCGTCTCACCTGTGTCACGTTGTGCTGCGCAGTAGCCAGGACGTGTATGAGAGGTTTGGGGTGGTAGCGGTCGTTGTCCTGCCGTACGTTGGTGACGGTGGGGAAAGCCGAGGGGGGAGACGGGGTCAGAATGGGGGGTACAGGGTGAGGCTCAGGGGGCTGGAGAATCTCCTCTTTAACGTCACCTTCTGCCTGGGAACTAGACAGAGAAAGAAGAGCGAGCTCAGTTAACAGAACAACAGCGCTAAATCCAGACAAGGTTTTCACTGAATGGATATTACTCACTGAGAGAGAGAGAGAGAGAAAAGCTTTTGATGTTTTCTAATTAGACATCTCAATTCCACAGAGCCCAAAATGCAGCAGAGGCGCTATAATTACAACACCAAACTCGTAGCCAAAATTGCACATTCACAAAGATAGAGCCACTGATTTTGATGTCAACATATTTTGCTTTTGCTCTTTAATTTAAGTTGTTCTAATATTGAAGTACAAACCTGGACTGTTTGCTTTAGATGAAAAGAAATACGTCTGAAGCCGCCTTTAACAAAAGTTCTAAAAACACTATTTAGAAAATGAAAGTGATAAAAAGCCAAGGATTTCATCATACTGGTCAGACATCGTACAGACATCTGAAAACACTCGTTTAAATTATTCTCCATCTAAAGGAGTGATGAAACAGATGATGAAATGAACTTCTATTAAATTCAAAGGCAGCTTCTGTTCATGTTGGGAGGCTAAGTTTTCCACCACTAGATGGCAGAATTTTAAAAAGTGAGGCAATCTGCTCACAGTATGTCAACATAGCAGACAAACTAGAGACAAATTACATGTCCTCGGATGTTAGGTGTCAGACAGCTCTCATCTATTTTTTGTGGATTCAAGGTGGACATGATCTTTGGATGTGAAGCAAACTGAAAACAGACACTGAACCAGGAACTGCAGAGCAGGGTCTAAGACAAGTTTCCCAAGGGGATATTCAAGTATTGTATTTTTTTCCTATTCTATTGTATTCCATTATTTTCTATGCAGCAACCTGCTGAGGAGATTCTGGTCCGGACGAAACATTTAATTCTCTTCTGTGCTACAATAATGCATAATGCTTATAATCTACTTACAAACCCACCTATACAGACACACAGTGTAGGCGTGTGAATTACATACAGGATATTGAGGTTGGGACAAAGCAAGCCACACAGCGATGGAAATTTATACATTAAGATATTGTTCCACTCCACTGAATATACATATTACATATGCATGCAAATATATACACACAGAAAAAACAGTGAAAGGATGTGGTGATGTGCTAAATCAAGAGCACATGACTGAAGCAAGAGCCAACATAGGAGTGACTGCACATGATGCTGTGTGTGTGTGTGTGTGTGTGTGTGTGTGCGTGTGCGTGTGCGTGTGTGTGCGCGCGACACACATACATAGATAGAAAGTCAGACACGAAGAGAAGTTGCAAGACAGAAGCACAGGGGATTTCCTTTTCTTGAGCAACTTGGAGTTGCAGTCACACTGTAGGCTTCCTCATAGAGCCTCGGCACTGCAGTATAGCTGCCATGTGATGGGGCTCACTAATATCATGTGTATTTTTGTTTATTTATGATTCTGTATTTTTAAGTTTTGATTTTAATGAAATATGGCAAAGACAAAAGATACTAACAACAGGAAACCATGCAGGGATTTAGGATAATAGCGTATATTGTAATCTTTAGGTCAGGGGTCATGATTGTTGCTTGAGCCTGAGCCCAGCTAGTTATAGCAGAGCTTTTTTTTTACCACTAGAATCTCTACTGGTCTCTTACAGGTCACTTATCTGCAATTTCTGGCCTCCAAGATAAACATTAGTTGAACAAGAAGATCATTATTCCTTTGGAGTTTCCATTAATGAAAACTTACATTACCCATGAGATTTACTTCGTCTATATCATCCTCATTGCCCGAGCAAGCAAAAGACATATTTAACAGTAACACAGATGATTCCCACTGGTGCCGATTGTTTCCATGGGGATATGAATCATTCAGATGCCACAGAGTTTATTCAGGCCCTGAATCCCTCTAAGATGAGATGAGATGAAACTTTAATGATTCCTAAGGGGAAGCTGAGCTGTTACAGGAGCAAACACTAATAAGTCAAAGCAAAACAAATAAGCAATATCAACAAGCATAAGGTTACGGGCACAAAACACATGCAGCACTAAGACATGCGTGAAGAAATGTATAAATAGGTATTAGGTGATATGAGGGTTTACATGAAGTGAGTAAAGGAGTTGAGGTGTTTTCCTGAATGCGAAAGTTACACCTACAGAACTTTCAGTTTAATTCATCAGTGGCCACAACTGATAAACAACACCTACATATAACTTTTTCAAAACACATATTAGTTAACACAGTATAACTGTTACATCTAACGTCTTCCTCTTTTTGGGCTCATCATCTACATGATCTGTTTGCTACTATATCAATTTTCTATCTTATTACTTGAATTCAACGGTGCGAGTGCAGCTTTGATCAAAACACAGGAATTTATCGGAATTACAAGTTGTCCACGTCACATCAAACTAATTCTCTCAGCTTGTGTTACGCAGACTGACACGTTTCAATAACTAAAAGTTCACCTTACATCTTTTACAGCTGTAAAATGTTTATATTTATTGCTTCTCTGGCTTTAAATAGTGTCAAATATTTCTGCAGTTTGAATCAATTTTTTTCCCCTTAAAGCTGTAAAAAGCTTGTGTGTGTAAAAGACAAGATCTCCAAGAGCTACAACTATTCTACAACACTTGAAAGAGCTGCAAACTACAAAACTAACCATGCACTCCTGTTCTTCTACTTTTGCCCTAAAGCGTAAAAACACTACAACCATCCATAGTGTTCTGGCACCCTGGTGACACACTTAAAAGCTAACCCTGAGCACACACACATCAGGCGCACATATGCGACCTAAACTCCTACACGTAAACACAAATGTGTGCACACGCCTTCAGAAGAACTTGAATTTTATGTAATAACACCACCCACACTCATAAATAAATGCACAAACTCACACACACACGACAAGTGCACTTTGCCCTCCACATATGTACTCCAGAGGGAAGATGCTGCATTTTTAATCAGAGCGCTGGTTCACAGTGGGACGTTCATGCGTCCACAGGAGGCGGGGTGTAATAGCAGGAGATGGAGCTTAGAGAGTCCTGGTTTCAGGGTCTGATGAGGATACATTTACACAAAAAAAAACAAGAAAAGTAGCAAACTGCACACTCGAACCACACACATTTAGATCACTACTTAAGTAAATATGTGTTTCTGCTTGCTGGATCAGATTATTATGTATTTGACTGTCTACAACTGGTAAGAATTAACTACTTTGCAATGCTAACAAGCACTGCAAAGTTGCAACAAGAGACACGCACCAATTCCAACAACGAAGCATCAGGTTGCCTCAGTTGAAGAGCTGCATCTCCTCAGAGCTGATTAGCAGCACTCAGAACACACCTCTAGAATACATTAATTTATGAATAACAAGCCTTATTTTGCTTAATAACAATACAGCAGTACTTCAGGTTTAGGTTCAGATCTAAGATGTTTTGTAAGATTAAAGAGGTGAAAGACACCCACTGCATTGGGACAGTATGCAGCAACAGGTTAAGACCTATAACACACACTAAACACTATTGGCTTTTTTATCCCCCAGGGGATACGACAGAACAACCAGAAACTTTAAGGTAATTTTAATCCTAGTTTTTTAATGCTGTTGCTTGAATTGTTCTTTTATCTTTTATGCCACCTACTGGTACTCGACAGCTTAAAATATTTGAGACACTACAGACACAATCTGGTATGGAAGTCGAATGCACAGTCCTAACAGATGGAGTAGAGGACATGACTCTGAAGGGCGTGGCTATAAATGTGTGTGTATGTATGTAAAACTGCATGACTCAGTATCTGTGAACCTGATGGCAGCCTCATTGTGGCGTTCCAGTATTATCTCCCTCCATCTCGTTCAAATACACAAAAATCACCCCACCGCCCCACATACACGTACACACACACACACACACACACACACACCCCTGAAGTGACCCAGGGGGAGTGTGGCCGGCAGAATGTGGACTATGCTGGTAAAAATAGCTCTTACCATCAGTAGAATACTCTCAGGCTTAAACTAGGCCTTGACATTATTTCTTTAGGAAACGGAGAGACACAGAGTGAGACAAGTAGAGAGAGACACCCATATACTCCTGACCGTCAGGCTGTGTGACGCACTTCCAGGAACGCTTCCTATTTTGGCAGCATTTCCAAGCTCAAATTTGTATGTTTTACTTAGAGGAGGAAAGAAACTTTTCAGTAAACAGATCACTTGCAGCTACATCCCAAAATTAGGACCTCTGAAAAATGTTTGCTTTCCCATCAAACCGGCTCATACAGTAGACAAATGAAGGAAACTACGAGCAGGATCATTTTAGTGCGGTAACAGAATGCAACAAAAGGTCGAATAGCTCCAGTAAATGATCCTTCTGGTAACTGTTTTTCACAGCCGCTAACTTATTAGGAAGGCTCAGAAGTGGGCATCGAATTAAAATGAAGACAAGGAATGAAAATAAATATATAAATTAAAGCACATGGTTAAGCACAGAGCGAATGATTCACACATTAACACACAAAATGCTGTCAAACGGGGCATTTTTAGACAATGCTTCTAGCAACAGGTAATTAAGGGAAACAGTGTCTCCTGGCAACAAGGAGTCCTCTCTGACATTAAAGCAGCAACACTGAAGCAACTCTCTGAGCAGTGGCATCCATCAGGCTTGTTTTAGAAGTTGCACAGTGTATGTATTGCTGCTATTAACAGAGGAAGAGAGAGGCCGTACCTTCTGTGGATAAATCATGAGAGGAGGGAAAGAGGGGCTGCAGATGAACTGGCTGACAGAAAGTGGAGCACAACCCCTGCTGGGCACATATAGCAAAATTAAAAATGAGAGGAAAGGGAGGAAAAGGGAGCAGAGAGAAGAAGAGAAACAAGAAGATGGGCTGAGGAAGGAATGAGGAGGGGGAAAATTTTGTGAAAGAAAGAGAGAGGGCATCTATGTGTATTTGTTAATAACAGATACAGATTGGGCCCGTATTTGATGAATATGCCTGTGTAAAAGAGTGTATTTGTTCTCAAAGAGTTGAAAGCTGGAGTAGTTTTTCTTCAACTAGCCTCGGGTTGTGATGCGTTCAACACTGCGTAGTGTTGCAGAGTATTGCAAAGTGTTGCGAAATGGCCTATAAATACAGCTCCTCCTCAGGCCACAACAGTTGTTAACAGGCAAACACAAGTTAACTTCAGCAAAGTGGAGGCAGGGTGTATCTGTGGGCTGACGGGCAACTAATGTGTCAAAGCTTTGGTTTGTTTGAGGAGAAAACTGCGGCTGCTGCTTGTGTTCGGTCAGTTTCATATGTTTTTATTCCGTGCTCCACACAAACTGTTGTGCTGTAATTTTTTTGTGTGTGTTCCTCCTACAAAACAACACCCACTGTGTTCAGTGACGGGCCGCTGCACACCTACCACTCACTTCTGTGTGAGCCTGTTCATTCATCTGTGTGGAGGCTGAGTGTTGGTCAGTGTATTCTACCACATCCATTTTGCAACTGACGGGTGATGTTTGATTTCTAAATTAAACAACTTCAAGAGAGCAGATGTGAACAGGCTTGAGATAGAAATAAAAAATAAAAAAAAGTCTCACCCAAACTGACACAATGTCTTACCTGCGTATGCGGGGAGGTTTGGGAGGTGGTGTGTCCCATCTCTCATCATCTGACTGGTGGCTTGCTTTGTCTGGACTGCTTTCATCCTGACACACACAGATAGATCAAGTGAAACAGTTAACAAAAAATGCAGACATAAAAATAAGCACATGCATAAACAAAAATCCTTGTATAACTTTAACTGAGGTTTTCAGATTGAAGACGCTACACTGCTCAGCACAACCCGAAGACACCCGAGTTTTACATGTTCACATGGGTAAAATAGCTTTTTCACGACCTTAAAGATTCACCAATTTTGCCTTTTGTTACCAGTCCTTTGACTTACTGTTGCCTGCAACTCTTCGAAAATGTAATGCAACTTTTAGGCAGTGGTGGAAAGTAAATATGTACATGTATCCATGTACTGTACCAAAGTAATACTGTACATTAAACTTGTTTTTTACTTAAGTATTTCAATTTTATGCTACTTTATGCTGCTCCATGACATTTAACTGGAAAATAATGCCCTTTTTAGTCGACTAGTTTTATCTAAAAGCTGTAGCTACTAATTAAAATTTTTTTGATTAAATTTTTAAATTAAACTGCCCACCAGTACATAAAGTAATTAAAATCAGCTCCACCTCAACCAGCCGCAACATTAAAATGCTGCTTATAGGTTAATGCATCAATAATGATAATACAAAAATATAACTTTACTTTGTACAATCATATGTCCTTTCACTGAAGTATACATTTTGAAGGCTTTTACTTGTAATGTAATATTCATGTATTGTGGCTACCTTTTATTAAATATAGGCTCCGAGTCCTTCCATCACTGGGTTTTTTACTATAGTTTGAGGATTTTCTGCGTTTACTTGTTTGGTGGAATTGATGAGTCCCACTCGGCCTTGAAAGCTCAGACGTCTTAAATGAACACACTTGAGTGAGTAAGGTACACTGAGTAAGTGTACTGGCATTTTCAGTCTGACGGCCGGAGCTTTTATGTGTTTCCGTGTATGTAAAAGGGCAAATTATGTTGAAAGACAAATTTCATCTGGAAAAGGTGGAAGTTACCTTTATAACTGCCAAATCATCTGTATGACTTCAATGCACATATTATTAGTTTTGCTAAATTTCAGAACGGATTGATTTTTTTTTAAAGCTTTGCTCAGACCACACCAGTCAATTTCACTGTGACTGTAGTTTTTTATAAATGCTGTTGAAATGTAAAGCCACTCTAACTCCTGTCTACTATCTCTCCCTCTCTCCTGGAGCAGAGGTAGAGAGTTGCCACAAAATTGCTCAAAGGATCAAAACTGTTTCTGAAAGGAGCCCTCCTCCTCCTTACTAATGTTATCTCTTCCTCTCAGCTCTGATCTTCCTCCTCCTCCCATCTCTTCCCCCCCCGTGACTCATTAATTTGACTCTCTCCACTCTGATAATGAGAGGATGACAGGACAACTTCAGTCGTCATAAACTCATGACGGGGGGTGGGGGGGCACAAACCAGGCCACTGCAGCTAAAGTCTGCTGAGGGACAAAATTCCAGCACACTGAGCTTAAGACAGAGGAGCCGATCACATCTGTCTGTATACGGACGCATACGGAGGTCCGTGTGTGTTGGTAGGAATACTTCTCGCAAACAATGGCGGCTGCGTGTGAGCAGAGAAACGTGTGTGGGACGTGTGTATGTGTAGGCTTATTGTTCATGCTGCCACTGAGAGCACCTGTGTGGGTGTTTTAGTCGCTGACAATGGCCGACTGGACATGAGTCAATTTGTGTATGGACTGAGTCAGTCCAGCACACTGATAATATTATTGCACACCAAGTGTGTGTGAGTGTGTGTTTCAGTGCAGTGTGCTCGTTGGACTTGCAACTTTGTTAGATAATGACAAAGTTACAATCAGTAGCAACAAACTTTCCTCCACATGCGCCACACCCAGTGTTAACAAACAGTTAATATCAATAGCTGTAAAAGAAATAGAGTTTCTAAAGTATATTATGAAACACTTACTAAATATATAAAATATATTTTGGGATTTGCGGCAACAGTGTGGAAAGTGTGTCAGCTGAGTCTTCTCTAATGTAAACATGGTTGTGTGTGTTCTCGTGTGACTGTCTCTTGCAAGGGTCCCCCTTCTCCAATGGATGTGTGCCTATTCTCAGACTTAAAGTGCATTATGGGAGATGGGTGATGTCATCACAGCTTCCTAAGCAGGAAGTCAGCTCTGGATTACTGCCAATTCACTCTTTCATAGTCCTAATGTGTCCTCTGTCTTTAGGTTCGTCAGACACTGCCTCACTGAACTCTCTGTCCTCTGGCTTTCTGTCATTTATCTTCACATAGCTACAGAACATGGTTGGGGAATTGTGGTACGACTAGTTTAACTACATATCCCAGCAACAGTCTGGTAGAGCAGCTAGTTTTTACCCCCCTCTACGCGGTGTATCGGGACCAATTGCTACAGCTCACTACTTTATTTTTTATCTTTAAGATGAAAAAGTTCAGAAATAGATAATAAACCAGCCTCAACTTATTTTTCAAGAATGGATCATTCACATTGACGTGTGTGACAGTACAGAGAGAGAAGGAGAGAACAGGTTTGAGGTGTAGCTTGCCTCATTTACTTTCAATAAAAATTCTGTGCTTCTGTAGCTTTACTACTTCAAATGAAGAGCAGCTTGTAGCTTCTCTATCTTTCCCCAAAACTGCAACATAATGATGTGGGATGATGATATTTTTGGTCATTTGCAATATTTCAACACCAGGCTGGATTTCCAAAACCTGGATCCTTAAATTGACTGGCCCGGGTGAGCTCTGCATTTAAATTTAGGAGGAGCCACTGAAGACGAAACGTTTACTGCTCTTTAGATTTTTTTTTATATGTTATTTTTATAATATGAGTAAACTTTTTAGCTTGGCTTGTAATTCTATAGCAACGGGATGAGGAAGAGGGACGATGAGGACACTTCATATATGGTACATGTGTTTGTGCTTTGGCGCAATGAAAGTGATGAGTGTGTGAGGTAAATTAAAATGAGGGCAGTGGTGACTAACAGAGCAAAGCTTTTCTCCAGCTCTTTTAAACGGGACTAACTGTACGTAGTTCTGTGAGACTACCCTGTAGAGGAGAGAGCTCTCTCTTTGGCACAAACTCTGAAACTCTTCTTTTTCTGTGTGTAAAGAGCAAAGATTTCTGAAGGCCCCTCCTCCTCTCCTCCTACCCTCTCCCTCCCCTGTGACTAATTATTTGTGTTTTTTTCCCACCCTGAGTGTGTTACTCAGCGACATCCTGTCTTTCTTTAACACCAGACAGCATGTACAATATATGTGTGTGTGTGTGTGTGTGTGTGTGTGTGTGTGTGTGTGTGTGTTTGTCTGTGTGTGTCATACCATGCCATCGTGTATCTGCGTGTTGGTGGGGCTCTCCAGTAGCTGCAATTGTTTCTGAAAGAGCTGAGCGATCGCTCTATGAACTAACTCGTACTGTTCCTACAGAGAGAAAGACAAAAAGAGAGAGGGAAGGAAAGACAAAGAACAGGAGAGGGTGAGAAAGACAAGGACATAAGGAAGTAGTGGTAAGAAAGAAAAAAAGTGTTGCAAAAAGCCAAACAGAGGGGTTAAATGGATGAGAGGTGGGGTGAAGGAGAGGGAAAAGAGAGTTTCAGCAAATCAATACCAAAGCAAAAACATTCTGTGTGTCAATCCTCCAAAACATCCATTTTCAAGGGTATAAAATACAACCTGTGTGAAAACAATGGAATGGCCTGCACTGACGCACACTGGCATACTGTCTTTACTTTCTGCACAAAGAGCCACATTTTCAGAAATGACAGTTATTCCACAAGAAACATGCAAACATGCAAAATTCTGGCAAAACGACCTGAACCAGTTACACATAATGGTGGGGAATGTGTGAGTTGAGAGGATCCATTTTCAGCCAGGTTTAGCACATGAATGAATGAATGAATGAATGAATGAATGAATAAAGCTGTGGCAGACATACAGAGGAGGAAATGCTGCTTATCTTTACAAGAGAATCACTGTCACTCAGACAAATTATGACTAACATAATGGATTACAAAATATTAAAAGAGCAGCAAGTGAGTAATGAGTACTTTTGCAAACAATATTCCAAATACTGCTGTTACATCAGAAATATAGTTTCTCACTGCATAAAATGTGTCACTAAGGTTCTTAACAGAACTTTTAAAAACACTAAACAAAACTGAAATGTTTGCAGGTGATTGTGAAATTCTTTTCACGCGGTGCATGTACACCCTTCATTACTTCTTTAATCTCCTTAATTCGTTCCCAAAATCAGGTATCAGGATTGTTACATAAATGTTTTCACAGCCTCTGTGGGCAGGAACACGGTGGTTTTCATACATAGAAACTGACACTGTTTTTAAGCCGCTGCTGAGAAACCAGCTTGTGGAAATCTATTAAAATATCAAATATCACACAATGTTGACCTCAGATCCCTGAGGGTGAAAAATCTGGCTGCAGCAACACTTCTGGGTAGTAGTTACCGCCCAAACACTAATTATCATTTCTGTATTTTCTGCATATTACTCAAAGCAAATTTGTATTAAATCTTATAATGAGTTGAGCAGAACGCACAAAAGCATTGTATGTGTAAAAAAAAAAACAACCTTAAAACTAAAAACAAACCTTGGTTTGAACAGCAGAGTGTCGCTGCGTCCTCATTTCTTGGATCAACCGAAAAACATTAAAATCTTCTGGTATTTTCTTTAAAAGCACAAAACACAACAAAAGGGTTAATTTTCAGTTCAATCATTACATTACATCTAGTGTGGAGAAAGAGTGTATTTGTACAGGTATGTGGTATGTGTTGGGTATGTATAAGAGAGTGTGTGTGTTCACATACCCCAGCTTTGAGGAGGTTCCATGTGTAGTCGATAGCACAGATAGCACCCGTCCTCCCACAGCCTGCACTGTACAGTCACAGTCGCACAGATTAGATTCAACAGAGGCACATGTGTAAAGACAGAAATACACACACTAAAACTTACGCTTTCTTATCACATACGTAAACGAACTAAAAAAAAAAAAAAACACACTCCACACAAGTATCAACTGTGGATTTCTATTGTGGACTGGGCAGCTGGGCACAGAAATAGAATAAGTACAGAAAATCACACAATCACGTTTGTATGAATGTGTGTAACAACACCTCGTCCAGACAGGATGGAGACAGGAGACACACAGAAGCTGAGATAACTTGACATCACGTCTGACACATGAAATCATAAAACTTTGCCTCATGCTGTCAGAGAGCCCTCTGCTACTCTAATGAGCACACACATACAGTACACATCAACCCACACAAAGCATCTTTATACACACAGAGACACAGTTTTAAGTCCTGCTGTGTAACAGAGGAACCAGGAAATGTCCTCAGGCTGCTCATTATAGCTGATTACACACACATGGACAGTGTGTGTGTGTGTGTGTGTGCTGTGTGGATACCCATGCCTGTGTGAAGCAGAAAATCTGAATCTATTGCCTTGTGAATCAGAGTGTTTTCTTCTCATTCTAGATAACTCATGTCCCCATTTGAACTTCTTTTCGAGTCTGCTTTGCCATAAATTTATCATTGCTTAGACCGATCACATTTAAATTCTCACCAGTCTAACCAATCACTGCAGCTGTCATTTTTAACAGCTGCAATCAGAGGAAAATTATTGATGCAAGACTCAGGCTGGGCTCATCTGGCTGAATTCTAAATGGCAGCTAAGTAGTTAATTATCTTTTAATCAATCAAATCTAAATTAGCAGATTAGTCAATTGAAACAGTGAAATGTCAACCAAAACAAGTCATTCAAAATTTCTGGTATGTGTCGGGTGAGTTTTAAAAATAATAATCCATCTTCTGTCAGAAGCAGATCTGCATTTGTATGTACTTGTTGAGCCACTGCTGCAACATTTCTCTGCTGTGTTGAAACTTGATTTCAAAAACACACAAACCCCCTGCTGTCCACCATTTTCACATTCTCACTGCCTCCCCACAGAAAACCACTGTCAATCTCATGCATCATTCAATTCCATTTGTATATACCACTGTCTTCTTCATTACTTTATTTTCTCATCTGTTATCAGTCTCTTTTTCTTTTAGATGTTGCCTTAGTTGCAGTAGGTGTCTCAGCACAGCATGTTCAGTATATACCAACCTGCAGTGCACACATATAGGGACATCATCATTCTCCTGGTATTCTCTCATTAGTCCGATCATATCCAGTATGGAGTCAAACGATGAGGGCACATCGTGATCTGGCCAGTTCATATAATGGAACTGTGTTATCCTCCGAGTTTCCTGCAGAGAGTCATATGGGAGGATATTAAGGGGGGGGGGGGGCAATACTTTGTGTGTGTATGTGATGATGTGTAATCGTTTTACAAAATCATGTCACCCAAATGGATGATTTCCACATATTTTACTTCTAAACCAAAATAAATACGTTACTGAACATCTTGTTTCATTTATGTGAAGAGTTTTTTCTCATGTAATTTATCACAATGGAACATCTCTCTCTCTCGGCAGATGGCCGCCCCCTGAGCCTGGTTCTACTTGAGGTGTCTGCTTCTTCAAAGGAATTTTTCCCTTGCCACTGTCGCCAAGTGTTTGCTCATGGTGGGAATTGTTCGGTCTGTATAATCAATACTATAAAGACTAGGGTCTAGAACCTGCTCTATATGAAATGTGCCTTGAGATAGACCTGCGTGTTGTGATTTGGCACTATATAAATAAAAAGACTTGACTTGAACATGTATCATTGCTTTGGACATAAATCTGATTGTTTTTATGTGATATTTGCAGACATTTGCCGTCTTGTGACACATATCAATATCAGAAATTTATCACTGGTGATATTGTAATATTTTGACTAGTGAGGATTAGTGGTGGCAATCAATTAAATTAATAATTGGTGGATTAATAAAACAGAGTGAGCAATAAGACAGAGAACTTACATTTTCATACTCCACCATCAAAGTCCTGATAAAGTAGTCTGTTCTGGCCTGTTCTGATTCCTAGAAAACAAAGACAGGGAGAAGCCTTAACACAATCCTTGATTAAAGCAGTCATTGGAAAAAATGTGAGAAATGCAGCAGTCCTCATTAGAATCACAGCTGTGATATTAGAGATTCTTCTACTTACACAGGAGATTCTGAAAGGACCAAAACTCATGGTCTCCTCTCCCTGCAGCGGGAAATATCGCTCACACTTTTTCTACCCAGAGAAGAACAAGAGTTAGCTTTGGCTGAGAACAAAATACCAGGCAGATACCACAACTTCCTGTGCACACACACACTCTCTGGTTCAAAATAAACAATTAACGTGACATGTGGAGCAAAGACAATGACAATTACAGGAAAAAAGAGACTATATATGTGCTATATTATATATACCCACATGTGCAAAACACACATTCATAGAGGCATATAAGTTATTAAAGCTATCAGTCACACTTTATTATCAGTGAACATCTTGACCTAAAAAGACAACAAGCTTGGATCAATGCAAATGTACTCAAGGCTTTAGTAACTGACTTGAGCAAACTCTCAGTCTCTCTATTCACAAATACATTTGTGCACAGACAGACGAGAAAAACACATAAAACACTAGAAATACCTCCACCAAGGTTAAATAGTCCTCTCATTGTGTTATTGTATGAGCTGGATTAAAGAATCAAGGATAAAATCATTTTACTTCTACAATAACTACTCTGACAGACGGAGACAGGACACTGTAACCTTGGTGGAGATAATGAAACACAGATGTGTGTACATACGAATGTACACATGTACACTTGCATGCATGCACTGACACGCATATACACATGAAGGGATTAAGTACAGAGGCCTTACCCTTCCCATCTCAAACTCTCGACAAGCCATTACAATAACCTGCGGAGAGACAAACAGGAAGGATTCTGATCAATATTTAAATCACATTTCCAAAAAAACAGTTCTGTTGAATGCTACATGTTCTATTTCTGTGCGGCTGTAGTTACCAAAACCAGTGCCAGAGACTCAGCGGAGTCTCCCTCGCAATAAGAAACACTCGATTTGAGAATGGCTCAACCTTTTCCTGTCCTACAGGATTTGTGCAGGCTTCAGATGATTTTTGATCATACGTTTCTCTGCCACATCCATATCTCCCATCATTCCCTTTGATCATACAGGAGTAATTATCACAGCTGCAAATCTGAAGTATGTCAGGGTGCTAGTTAAACCTAATCACAGCTCCTTCCCTCCCTCTCAATATCTGTCCATCTGGTTTCAAGTGTAAGCACTCCCCATCTGCCTCCTAATTTCTGCAACCATATTAAATATTTACTTTAATTACTTTAATTATCACAGTTTTAATAATTAACTGTGCAGAGCTACAGTTATGACCCAAACTTTATTCAACCATGCTATAGTGACATTTGAATTGTATATATATACAAAATGATGTTAACTGCCATCTCACAGAAACGCCTCATTCAAACCAATAACTAATAATCTAATTGGAATCAGAGAGGAGTAAACAATGATATTTAACAGGTATACGAATTATATTTTCAGCATAAATGCACAAACACAGCCAATTTATCCCATGTAATAAAATGTTGCGGTAAATAGACACTGTAGCACCCCCTATCATAAAAAATACTCTAAATGCCAACTTTCTGTTGTCCTTGCAAGTTGACGCAGAGGGTCTTTGCCCTCTTAAAAACCTCCTACATTATATACACTTTAATCTTTAATACTCACAGCTACGTTGTACTCCCAGTTCATCCTCCAGAAGTCAATGACAGTGTTCGGCAGTGGGCCCTGAGTTGCGATATAGGCCTCTGGGCCATCCATACCCTAAAGGAGAGAAAGGGACAGAAAGCACGGTCACACCTCTGCACATGAGATGTTAGTGTGATGATGAGATGAGACTTTCTTCCTGACACTATAATATAATTAGTGTATAAGACCACATAAAGTCAAACCACTCAGATAAAAAAAAGCAAAGTAGCTCGATTTTTACCTTGATGAAGTTGGCGTTGATGTAATCTGTGTCCTGATTGGTCGTTTTTAACTTCAGCTTCACCCTACTGTGATCAACTGGAGAGAAAATAATTACAATTATTATTTAATTTAAAAAATATTAATCACTCAAAAAGAAAAATACAGAGACTGAGGAGTAAAGGTAAATAGATAGAATAAGAGAAAGAGGAATAGAAAGGGCAGACGGACAGAGAAAACAAGGACACGGCTAAAAGCCAGAGAGAAGTGGAATCATGAAGAGGTTAATGGACACACAGCAACATCCTTATCCTCATATGTGCTGCATGTGTGTGTGTGTATGTGTGTGTAAACATCTGTTGTGGGTGAACCAGTTCTTCCTTTGCCTTATCACAAGCTCATTTACTAAAAGCCTTAATGAATGAATGGATGGATGGATGGATGGACAGAAGATAAAAAGAGGATAAAGGTATAAAAAGTAGGACAGATGTTGGGTCACGGAAGCTTCCCCTGAGGTCATTAAATACAGTGAGAGCTCTGTGTGTATGTGAGACTGTTACACAACCTATTACAACATACTAAGTATCTCTATTTGCTCTGAATGTGTGTGTGAATTATTTTTACAAACATTTTTGTGCACTGTCTGTATGTGTCCTTCTCTTTCCAATCCTCATCTCCTGCCTTTACTCTATTTTTTCAGTTTTCCTTTATTTAACCTGGTCTTCTAAAGAAATTGTGGTTAAAAAATATAATATAATATATAATGTTGTGTTATTTGACAATAGTTTGTTTTTGTTTTTTTACTTTGATTGAACATAGTTTTTTTTTTTTCTGGCACATAGAGCGTGTTATCTTTAAAGCTGAGGACATAAATACAATGTTTTAATGCTACCGTCATGCAGGACCAAGCATTGCATTTGCTTAAATATTTAAAACTTTGTCAAATTAAATTGTTGTAGTTATTAACAGCAGCGCAGGACAAATATCGCTGTAAATCGGCTGCAGGCGTGTGATGTACATAGAGTGATGAACTAGCAGAAGGACACTGAGGACAAAAATAACTTTGAAATTTGTACGTTTCCTTTAAGGTTTGTTGTTGGAGGATCAGTGTGGAACAGTGCAGGGAAGATGACAGAGGAATGTTGCAGTGAAAACTGAATATGCTTAATGGCATTTCACACATACGTCATCAATATCACTGCATGCAATGTGATCTTGTTCACCCTTATAGCTCTGTCAAATGATCCCTCAGTCCAGCATTAAGCTCCATGAAGATGTTTTGTTTATAAACCGAACTTTAGTGTATGAAAAGGCTTTAAAAAATAAAAGAGTGTTATAGTGTAGTAGTGTGAGTTGTAATGTTTTTACTTGTAACCCCTTCCAACTCCTAAATATAAACTGCATGTGTATAGATTATGGGAAGTTCCACTTAAGAGGGATTTTCGTATCTCAGATTATTTCGTCTGAATCATTTTTAAAGGCCTGAAAAGGTTAAACTAAAGTATTTTGCAGGAAAGAAGCAAAGATTAGAGAAAAGTCAGAAAACAGAACATCACTTTGTGAGCGAGGATTGATTTTTATTCTTACAATCATCTCCTGGCCCCTTGAAGTGGTCTTCACCACCAGGTGGAGAGCCACTGTCATACAACAGCCATGCAATGATTCTTACCTTTAGGAAAGTTATAATATGAAGCTTTGGTTGAAACTGTTTTAGGAAGCTGTTGAATTGTACTGAGGTGTTCTTAATATGTTGTACACCCATATGACGGCAGGTTTTATTGCAGGGAGGGCTGTTGTATTAAGTTTTAGCTAGGCATACCTAATAAACTGGCAAACGAGTGTATTTTGTTTGCCTGCATTTGAAGTGTAAAACTTATTAGAGAGACCTAGCTTCAAATAGTAAACTACAGATCTGGTTTTATGTGGAACCTATGACATAAAGTGTGCCTTCATCAGCATAAAATGGACATTACAACCTCTCCCTGTTTTTCCCTCTAACAGATCAGACAGATCAGTATTTATATGTTTGTTACAGAGCAGGGGTGTAGCTAATATCATTACCAATGGCTCCATTAAATTTAGGTTTTGTTGCACACCAGACAAGTCAGCCATTATTTACTAGCTACACATGTGTTTGAGAAGTCAGAATGTCCCCTGTGTGCCGGTACTTACATGGCAGTATATCTTTATATCTGTTCTTCTTGACATTCTCCTCCTTCTCTCCTACATTGGTGGGGTAGATCTTCTCTGTCCGGTATTTGGTAGATAACCGCCGTAACCTCTGGAATAAAGAAGACGAAAAAATATTTAGTGGATGGTATCAAATCAAATTCTTTCATTCGCATGTCATTCTCAACTACACAGGTTACATGTCACATGTTTATAGGTACAAATGGAGAGGCTTTTTTTTTTTTTTTGATGGCACACAGGAAAGAGATACACGAAAGCAAAGTAACCTGTGATACAGGACGGACAGAAATCAGTCTTTGCCTGAGGATCACAGACTGAATACACAGAGAGCTGGGGTACAGCAGCTGTGATAAATGTGTCTCCACAAACAGATAACTATTCATTTCTTTGAGTTACAGTGACGCTTTCCTTTGCACACACACACACAGTCCATCCTTCAACATTCACTCTGCTGCTAATATACCCTTCTAACACAAACACACACACACTCCTGTTCCTCTTTTGTGTGTCAGTGGATGAAGTTAAATGTGGCCAAATTTAATAGTGGCTGACACTTATGAGGACACACTCAGTTAATGGGAAGAGAACAAATTATAACATCTCCAGTCCGACAGCAGGCCACAGCTCAGCTAGCTGTCCTTGGATACTGCGGACCGCAATATCATTTCTTTAGTCCACAAATGAGAATGCCATTAAAACTAAGCAGAGATTTCACTATATTGTTTTTACCCCACTAGCTATCCATTTAATACCTGTGGTTATGGCAGTGATGCAAATGAACAGAACTGCCTTGTGGCAACAGGAATTTTGCATCAATGTGATGAAGTGCCTCTATTTGTCAGGTTTTTTAATAAGCGCTATCAGGTTATTTTATCTAGAAACACTTTCTAAAATTCCCAGAAATGTACTTTAACATAATTGCTAGTGTAATATAAAACCATAAACACCAAAAAAGGGGATTTTATTACCACTAATGTAACAGGAAAGATGGTTTCATCATATCGCCCTCTGGTTAAAAAAAAAAAAAAAAAAAAGAAAAGAAGTCATGTATCATTTTAGTTCCACTTGCTTGTTTTGACACCAAGATAGAGCTGAAAGTTTCATAAAATCCAAGTTTAGTAAGTGAACCTTGTGATGAGGTCAAAGTATTAGAATTATTGTTTGCAATCAGTGACAGGGGGAAAAAAAAGAAAGAAAATCTTTTGGTTGCATCTTACTTTGTTAAAGGTTCTGGGGGTAAAAACTTATGTAACGTATGCATTTTAGATCCGTACTGTTATTACTTTCAGTTGAAATCATATTATTTGATTAAAAAAATGAATGGCTTCATGTGCAATTTATACTCTTCTATGGTCACTGAGATAAATGTTTTGGCCATATTTAACTAAACACAACTTATACACCTAAATTTACAGCTTCAAAGGCTTTGGCACCAGGATGCTCGCCTCTATTATTCGTATTAGATTTGTGACCTAAAACTTGCAGAGAATTTTTCCATTCGTGACTTCACTTTGTCCTCGAGCGTCACAGTGAAACTTTAAAGAAACTTAAAAAGACTTTTGTACCATGAAAAACTCCTGCTGCCCGACTCTGATAGCGTTCACATGACGATGCTCTCAGGGGCCTTTTTTGATTCTCTCAGATGGTTCAATCACTCTCTCCTCTCTCTTTCTGAGACAGTGAGGAAATTAGGCATCACTCCACTTTGTCTGCCTCTCTCACTCTCCCCCTCTCTCTCACTCTCTCTCTCTGTCTGACTCTGAGAAAGTCAGCGTGGGCGTTCAGCCTGCTGGAGCCTTGTGTGAAAAACGGTCCCACCTCTTGTCTCTCTCTTCTCTCTGGCAGTGGCTGCAGGCTTTCCTCCTGTTACTGTAACATGGACACGTACTGTACATTACACCCTGCCTCTCTGAGACTCCCAAACCTCAGAGATTTCTCTCTGTCCTTGTTTCACTCTTTGTCATTAACATCACTTACAACAGTACACACACCCACCAACTATTAGATAGTACAAACAGATAATCCTACACATGATCTTCTACACACTTTTCTCTCTACACTCCCATTTCTTGAATATCTTTTATGTGAAAGTTGAGTTTTTGATTCAGCAGTTTCCTAAATTGAAAAACTGGCACACACATATAAACAGTTTAGACTATTGGCAAAGAGACACCCTGGAGACACAATGGGATTTTCACCTTTCATTCCGCATCACTCGTCTTTGTAAACCACAACAACAGACTACTAGAAAACCGAGTGAGAGGAAGCAAGGGAGAGAGAAGGAGTTTGAGAGAAAGAGAGGTACACACACAGAGACTGTGGGCGGCAACAGCTGTGTGTGTGTTCATTTGTGTGTGTGTGTTCATTTGTGTGTGTGTGTGTGTGTGTGTGTGTGTGTGTGTGTGTGTGTGTGTGTGTGTGTGTGTGTGTGGTAATAGCATTAGAGCTCTTCTGGCCTCATGTGAATTACATTTCCAACAGAGGTCTGCTTCTGTGCTGGGCCAGAGCCCAGGATTACACACACACACAAACGCACATATACACACTCGATAAGACACACAATGAGCAGGCAAGGCAGGCAGTGGTGATTTGTGATGGTTTGTGATTCCCCCAACCCACAAAACGCATTATGTGGAGACAAACATGCAGAGAATTGTGCCCTCTAACACTGTAATGATGATAAGTATGTTTCTCTTCGTAGCCCATTCCACTTCATTTACAGCGCACTGGGAAAAACTAGTTGATTCTCCCATTAAAGCCCATAAATTCGGACATTTTGCAGCACCTCAGCGCCTCACTGGTTTGGCCCTATATCACTTCTTTCACTCTACACAAGACAGACTATGACAGCTGAGGTCAATGCGCATATTGTTAGTCACAGACAGCATCTAGGGAGCAGCAACTTCAGTGCTTTGCTCAAAGGCTTTTCAGCACATGCAGCTCCTGCTTCACACTTTACTTCTTGCAGTTCAGCGGATCTAATCAGCAAACATTAAGGTCTGTTTTTTCTGACCAGGTGAACTTTCACACCTGTTTTCAGGTAGACAGCAGGTAGTTTTTTCAGGTTCTAATCATGTAGACATTTCCTATACAGCCGGTGAGCAGCTGATGAGAATATTATATTAGTCTAGAGAAAAGCAGTTTCAAATCTTTACTCTTTTTATGTGTTGTTCTTACTTTTACATATATTTTTTCCATGCACTCAATGGCAACAGTGTGTAAAAATAATACTCTTCCTATTCACTGCGGTTAAATGTACGTATAAGAAGACAGCAGCACCACATCACATGTAACTATTGTACTACAGAAGCACGGGCGTGTGTCGGCATACCGTCTGTTTACTGACTGATGTCAGCTTTGAATAAATGTTGTTTTTTTTTTTTTTTGCTGCTGCTGCTGCTACTGACACCTTGTCTTACTGATTGTGGAAAAGACATTTTGTAATATCATTTTGGAAGGATGTCACAGACAACAAGTGTCTCATTAGCAACAGATACATTATACTGGTTGCTTAAAAATAAAATGATGAAAAATTGATTTGTACTTCTGCAAAAATGCATATCGTACCAGCTGACAGAAGGAGATTAGTCTTGTCTGATCACTATTTTTAAACTAATAATTTCCATCCAAGCAAGTTATACGCAGACATTTTTATGTACTTCTAAGCAGTGCACAACTGAATGTGGAATGGGTGTGTTATTCCATCAACTTGAATTAAGTAAAGAGATGTCTAACTCGCAGTATAATGAAAGAAATATTGATAAAACTTTTTTATAAAGAGGCTGTGGTGAGGAGGTTGTTTCAAGAAGTCCAAAAATACAATTTATAGCTTCCTTAACAAACCTATGTTGGTAATCTGACAAATATATCTACTTTCACATTCAAAAAGCTACAGTATATTTAATGTTCAGCTTGTTCAACGTGATTCGTTCTTGTGAAAAACACTTGGATGGAGACCCAGCTACTGTCCGTCTCGCCCTCTTTCTCCCTACTTTCCATTGTCCCACACACAGACCCTGTGTCTAATTACTCTTACTTCCTCGGTTACGTAAAAACACACACGCACAGAAAAACGTGCACACAAGCCTGTGCGTGTACTCACACACACACACACACACACACACACACACACACACACACACACACACACACAAAATAACGGGTAAGCCTGGAGGATGCTGAAGAAACAGAGCAGAGGGAGAGTCCCCGCCTGCTGCGCTGCACCTTTGCTAAACAAACCAACAAGAGAGGATAAGAGGAAAAGAGAGGAGAGAAGTAGAGGAGAGGAGGACATGGGTATTTTGGATGAAGGAGAAAAGAAGGAGAGACTTGGGGAGAGAGGAGAAGAGAGAAGAGGGAGAGCCAAGGCTTTTAAGAGGCTCTTGGTAACTAAGCTAATGGGTTCTTTTATTCCTTGTTTGTGTCGCTCATTCACACGCCCCCTTTACACACTATGTCGCTTCGCACTAGCTTCTGCTCTGAATGGAGGAGGGGGGGTGGGGGTGGGGGTGCAGAGACAGGGGGCAAAGAAAAGTAAATATCCTCGCTTCTAATCGCTACTCAAATGTACTTCTCCATTTAATTCTTGTTTTCTATACAGCAGTTAGTAGTGTATCACAAACTCCAACTCTGAGAGAAAATTAATCAGCATATATTATCACAGTAAATTATTCATTTAAGTCATTTCTTCAAGCTGAAGTTGGTGGTTGTGGCTTGTCAAATATGTGGATTTGATTCTTTTTCATCATGTGTGATATTAACCTAAATATCTTATTTACTTATATACTTATTTAAAACAAGCTATGAACATACGTAACCTCAGGCTCTGTGAAACTGTGACAGGCATTTTTCACTCCAGGCAATGAACAAGAAAAAGTACTTGCACGGGCAGGAGCACTGACAGTTACGCAGAACAGACTTTTAACCCGTAAGCTGATGTTTCGGCACAGGCTTGCCTTCTTCATTTGTCACCGCTTGTCTGACATTTCACAGACAAAATTAATAAACAATCATTCTCACGTTTGAGAAAGGTGTGAACTGGTGAATGTTTTACCTTTGTGCTTGAAATATGAATTTGACTGGTATTAAAGG